TTCAAGAAATTAATTTTATTTTCCCAGTTTTCCCCCCTGGTTGCTCAGGCATTTTAGTGGCTAGTGCTGAAATGGCATTTTCTCTATGTGTGATTTTCCCTGTGTTGCTGTTAGACTTTCAGCCCTTTAGAGAGTTCCAGAGTGAGCATGCACTGACTGTGAACTACGGTGATCTCGACTGAACTCATCTAGATGCTACTATAATGTTGGCATAGATATATTATCTTGGGGAAAGACAAAAGGAATCCAAGTCTGCCCCGGAAAATATCCATCTAACATTTGTGTTTTACTATGTATGTTTCTGCTGCCCTTTCTCCTCTCTACAGATACTAAACCAAACCGTATACCATTATAAGACTCTCCTTACCAATAACCGCTTTTCCCCTTGCAAGTCAAGTTCACAACTGTGGGTGTTCTAAAATACCATAGGAGTCTTGCAAACTTACTTGATTTTTAGGGATGGATTAGAAGACTTAGGTAGTTTTGCAATTTCCATCTTCGCAATAATTCTGCATTTTCATCAATATTAATATACTGAAAAATACAATTCCTAACTGTTATTATCCCAATACAACATATCAATCGTTAATCATTGCTGACACTCACCCTAGATTGAAAATTCATCCTTCAGAAGAAAGTATCTAGTACCCACTACTCGTCTTCAAGTTATGGATGTTCACTAGTCTTTAAAGCAAGTAAAATAAACAAATATCCCATCTTTATTGTCATTAGTTTTCAGATATTTTAATGTTTAGTATTTCTTATATAGATGCTATTATTTCAAAATGATTTGCAGTTTATTTTTGTGGCTTCTGTGTTTAAAGTGTGCACTTAAAGATCTGAGTTTAAGTGCATGAACTTACATTGCATTTGTTCTCCTGAGATTGCTTGTCCCTAACAGAGGATGTTGATAGTGGTTATAAAGTTGTTTTTATGTCTTTTCTTTGTTTTTTCCTACACTGGTTTTGGAGCAACACTTCAAAGTTGGCTTGTATTGTTAAAGTAAATGCAGTTTCCACAATCCTATGTAAATCATGTGTGTCAGTATGTTGTTCTATTGAATTAACCTTTCTTAAAGATGTGCTATGCCCACCCTCTATTTTGCAAGGACATATCAATCTCTTTATAGCTTGTGCTACTGCTTAAAATGTGAAATGGACTTTCTTTTTTCCTTAAAACAAACAAACACAGAAATATGAGTAAAATAAATCCTTTCATGACTAACAAAGTTAATGCAGCTAGTCGCTTTCAAGTAACAGTGAAAAATCTGGTGGGCTGTTGGATTGTTTTGGGTTTGGTTGGGGGTTTTTTTAGCTATCTACTACGGCTAACGCTGTTACAGTATACCTTTTTTTTTCTTTCTCACCTTTAAAATATCAGTAAGCATCTATGTTTATTTCAGTGACTATGCTCTCTTGTACAGATAGAGACAACATAAGAATAGATGTTCAGTTACACTAACCAGTGATTTCCCTTCTTGAAATGATGCGGATACAGAAACAAGCCTCCTAAAGGGACTTGAGAAAATCTGACTGGCTTTCACTAAAGCCTGTGCCATTTCTATTAATAGTCCAGAGCTGTGTGTGCGTGTGTAAGTGCAAAGGAACGGTGCATATTTCCTGCAGAACAGCATGGATATGCAGGCAATTACAGAAGATAAACGGGCTGAATATTTGTCTTACTGTCCTCCTTTTGTCACGTTATATGGATGACTGGATATAGTAAGTATGGGCCACCTTCTCTTTGTTCCCTGCCCTTTTCATCCTCTTCATTTTTAATCTCTTCCATCTCTTGCCTTTCCCTGGCAATGCCCATCCTTCTCATGCTCTCAGTCCTTAAGATGTATTCAAAGCAGCCCAGGTAGCAGATGTTTAAAGGCATTCCTTTGCCATTACTTTTATCCCTGGTGATAGCTCGATAAAGAACAGAGAGGTGTCTGACTAATACTCTCTATGTGTGCTGTCCTTATCTCTGTGACATTGCTAGCAAAAAGGTGGAGAGAGGACTTATATCTGTTCTTCCGGAGAGTAGTGGGCAGGGATGCCTGAGGCAGTATAGCTTTAAACTGCGGGCATTTACATGACACAGTATAATGTGGAATAGCAAACAAGAGTTTTTTTGGCTGAAAACAAGGCCTATCAATGTTCAGGATGAAAGGAAAAGAAAGAAGGAGAAAAAAAAACAGTCAGGATATTTTTAGACCTTCTAGACTGCTTCCATTAAACCATTTTTGTGTGCATTTTAAAAACAACAAAGCAATCACTTGGTGTCCTAAATCCATACCACTTCCTGGAAAAATATTTTCGAATCTCAAAGACTAATTTGGACCATACAAGTCAGTAAGGATGGAAGATGTCTAGGAAAGAGACAGATCTTGTAGGACGGTGCAGTGGAGAGCTAGTGCTGAACCAGTGTCCTGGTACTGCATGCAGGGACGCAGACACAGCAATTAGAACAGACGTGAGATACCAAACTACTTTTAGTAAAAGTCTTGTAGCACTTGCAGAAGGATGAAGAATGATCATCTTATTTCTGATAAATTGAAATTCAAATAGTTATAATGCACCTGAATTTGCAATGGGCCACAGTATTCCTCTGCTCCTTCTTTTTTCCTCTTTTGAAGTCTATTACATATCACTGACATGATTGTTCTTCAGTATGGATGAAAGGTAACTCTAGACTTAGCTCCGTATTCTACTATGGTACAGGAAGCAGAAGTAGTAAGTCTCTAAAAATGCCACTTGAACGTGGCTTGTTATGTAAGCAATGGCACAAACAGTGCAGGATTGCATGACTGCTTTGATTATCAAAGGGATACAAGGGTGGGTTTGATTGTTTTGTTTTTAATGCAGGAGTGTGGTGAGAATTCTACTAGAGGACGCTGAAATATGGGAGACTGACCTTATAAACTTAGAGATATTTAGTTGGCAAATATAATAGAGGTTAGTGCTTCTGCACCTTATATTGAGCTTCTACTTCATGATATGTAGACTGCAGAAGAGGCTATCATTAAGTCAACAGCAACACAGCCACTGAGGCAGACAGATTGAGGGGCTTCTTTTATTCATGAATCTGGTATTTGCTACAGACTTTTATTCCACAAATTATGCTGCATACTTTTGTACTACCATTTAAAGCTCTGATAGTTTTTACCTGTGTGCACATTAACCAGAAATAAAGAAAAAGCAGCAAGCTTCTGTCTCCGTTTTTAAAAGAATTGATTTTTCATTTTCTTTACTTCTTTGCATGAAATATTTTAGATCACATAACCTGCAGACAGCTGTATGAAATTTTAAGAGTGAAGACACTAATCATACATTGTAAATTCTTATTACTATTCTGTTGTTGAAATAGGCTTACGGAATAATACAAAAGAATCCCCTGAACTGGTATAATAAACTATACATTGATTGCAGGAGTCAAGATTTTCTTTGATGGCATTTCTTAAAATTCTCTAAAATGTATCTAAGCTACAAAAAAAAAAAAAAAATTAATTTGCGTATTGAAGTGTATATACAGACAGATTCACAAATGAGTGGCTCCTACTTCTCTTTAAAAATGAGAATAATATAGTTAGTTTTATAGTAAATGGGTGTTCAACCCAATATTGAGAATTCACTGTTGCTTAGAAAAACAAGTGCTTTAGGCTGCAAATCTGACATATGCTTGTATTTTCTGGCAAGATGCATTCTTCAGATTTCATGGGATACAGTAGTGCTCTGAGCTCCCAGTGGTATGTCTTTCCTCTGCTTTTTCTGCATGCTCTAGGGATCTTCACATATAGAGAAAACAGACTAGATGTGCCGTGTGGCTCTGAGAGCAGTGTCTGTCTTCAGTGATGGCAGTGGGGGATCTATGCATGCAGGGCAAGCTGAATATCAAACTGGGGAGCAGTCATGCACAACTGAGAAACAGTGAAAAATTCCACCAATTTTTTAAATAAAGACTTAATCATTTAGAGTATTACATGTTCTTGGTATAGTGGTAGTCAGAATCCTAGGGATAAAGATGATAGACATTGCTTAAAGCAGGATTCACTGTTTTATCTCTGTGCTGTACTCCCTGGATTAGGCAGCACCTTGTATACATACAGTCCAAATAGACAGTAATTGGCAACACATGGGTCACGCGTGTTAGAAAATCTTGCCAGGATGCCTGCTTCTTTCTGGCAGATACAGCCTAGAGTAACAAATGCTTGATCTTAATTATATACTATGTTTAGCCTTATGGGAATGAATCCTTTTCGTGTACTATTCTTAAGCCTAGCTCCTAATTTGTCCCATGTGCTAAAATTAATGTTACTTTCAGTAGCTGCTAATCACAGTATCCCAGCTTTTACATCCACTTTTTTCCCCACATATGTCTAAACGTTAGCTGTTAATGTGGTGGGGACATTTGTGATGTCATATCCTATCTTATTCTCTGGCCAAAATTATCTGTACAACATAAATTACTTATGTGTTTTGGGTGCTTTTAAGGACTGACCAAGTGTAGGGTCCCACGATATTAGATGCTGCACAAATTCAAAGTGATTGACTGGTCTTCTTGCAAAGAAGTCCTGCAATTTAGACAGACAAGGTAAGACAAGTGTCCAGACACTGGATTTCATGTAATTCTGTGTGGATGGTCACCACCTTTTCTTTCAGAAAGCTAATTAAGTGCATTTCTAATTCAAGTCATTTTTAGCTCAGAAACACAAACTGTAAATTCCAAGGAATGAGATTCTTCTCTCTCTTCCTACCATTTGGTGACATTTGCTAATTGATAAAAGGAATACTGGATTGCATCTGTAGCTGCTTTTTTAGGCAAACAATTCTATTGCAGAGGATGAAAACACAGTGGTTTTCGAATCCCACATGCTCTTACCGTTCATAGTCTGTATATATTCCCTAATCTCTCATGGTCTCAGCAGGACATTTGCAGATTGGTAAAATGAGTATCAAAGAGCAGTTAAGGTGGCTGCCTATAACTTAGCCTATAAACAGCTCCGGAGATTTCCTCATATTGGAATATTCCGCAGGGTTGCCACAGAATAAAGCAACAGAGTTGAAGGTGTGCACATCAGGCAAGACATATTTTAGCTGTTTATAAGTCTCACCCAGAGCATGCTAGTGGAGATGCCAACTCATTTTTAATCCTCCTCACAAAAGCCTGATAGCAGAAGTGGGCTTCACCAGCTATTAACAGTGACTCTAGCACCTTTCTATGATCCAAATCTTGTTAGCCATTAGCATGCCAGCAGGATATCTGAATGCACTCAGGTCTATTCTCAGATATAACAGTTTCATCTCACTCCAGCTGTTTCCAGTAGGGATTCCCTTCTTTAAGATTGCCAAAGAAACAAATTGGAAGTCTGTATCTCTGCAGAGAAACCAGGTTAACTGATTCAGGAAGTGAATGCAGTTCTCCCACGTCCCTTTGATCAAAATCATCTGCAGAACAATTCATGCTTGGATGGATCTGTGACAGAGTCCCTCCAGGTTTGCTGAAAACATT